CTCCCATCTTCTCATTGACTCTCGGTGACTCCATAGAGCAATATTTGGTGTCGGATGCTTCTTTTCGGTAATTTACGGCTATGACTAGCTGTAAGCGACTTTCTCTTGCTGCAACTAGCTCAAAGGATACGATTATTGCCCTGTAGGTAAATGCACGACCCCGTTTTAAGGATCACGGTGTCTGCAAACCATATTTCAAATGTAGTGCCTACTGGAATGTGGCTCATAAAACATGATCACTCATAGTGGAAGCCACCCTTACGCCATGACTTAAATGTCCAGACTAGTGGAAGCTTTAAACGAAAGCAATCCAAAGGAGTAACCATTTCGATTTCGTTGACTGACTGGCAGACTTAAGCAACACGAAAGGGGATTTTCACTGAGGATAACTGAATCAGCAAAGACTCATTTTAGAGTGATTGAAACCAGGTCAATGTTTAGCAGGTCTAATAATTTGGGCTTTGTCACGCCAACTCGCAACAAGTGCTGACTGGCAATCCTTCTCCTCCTCAGCCCTCTTCCCCATACCTTCCGCATTTTGCGCCTTTACTTGGGCAGCACAGTGATTTACCAGACCGAATGTGATAGTCGAAACTGACCTGTGGGACATTTATATTCCCAATTCCATTTATCCTGCCTTACTTAAAGGAGGGTGTTCTACCCAGCCAAATACTCGCCATTGAATGGTAGATATTTGAACTGCAAATCCGTGGTAGCAAGAGGTGGACCTCAATTCCTCAGTAGTGTGTGAATTCACTGATGTGTTGCTAATCTTGAGCCTACTAATCGAAAAATCAGTCGTTGAAATTAACTACACCCTCCTCACTCCTTTCAGCAAAGTAGCTACCCACGTGGGGAGTACACACATCCACGATTCATTTACGAGATTTTTCGTTCCAGTTGGACTTGTCAGTCTCCAGTCAACATCACATTCGACATGTTCTTTTTCATTTGCAAATGACGAACAATCGTCTTAAGCACACGGTCCAGTCTCAAAGTACCAAATACAAGAGGAAGTAACCGTCTACAAACAATCTGTGAAACAGTGAATAAGAAAAAGTGGTCAACTGTGGAAGATTCGTTAATCAATCGAAGAATTAGCACTAAGTATGGTCTTGAACTGACTTTGTTTCTCCTGTTTTTGTGGAAGTCTGGCTTGCGACTTGACTTTCAATGCTAGAATTTCTGCAGTTGCAGTAGATGGAGTTGTCTATGTTGAATGGGAGTACCTTGAAGATGATGAGATGAATAATCTGATTGCGAAATAGAAATTAAATAGGCAAATTTAAGGCACGTAGGAGTCGCACACTCTACCATTGACAACCTCATGTCGTGCAGAGTTCTTCGGCTGTGTGGGTTAGTCGATGAGGTCAATGTTCTTGTTGTTTATGACTTGTTTGGATGAAGGTTGCCTGATGGATATGGAGGCAGACTTCTTAACGCCGCTAGCGTGCGAGTAAGCTTCAAAGACTGAGAAGAAGGAGGAACAGGCAATGACTGAGGTTGGACTAGAGGTGAGTTCTGACGTGGTGATAAATTGGTAAGTTGAGAATGAGGAGGTGGAGGCAGAAGTGGAAGAGGCGATACTTGTGGGCAGCAATCGCCATGGTGACATCACCTGTGTGAATCGCTTGTAACTGTACCTTAACGTCAGAATGGTCATAGAAATTATTCTAATTATTTATTATCACTAACTCAGCATTGTTTTGCACCAGCAGTTAAATCAAAGAGCATAAAACGGCTCAACTCTTGCTGAACTTCACAAATCTATTGTTCACGCTACTTAAAAGTATGAAGATCATTGAGGGATCTATTGAATCTCTACTTGAGCAAATGTCAGATCTGTTTACGGCATTTTCCACATAGATTACCAATTTAAACACTGGTTGAATCCGAACTCATCAATAGTTTAAGATCACGGCTTCCTCTACTTTGTATCGCATCTTTGGACGTACAAGCAAATAGGGTTCTCCAACAGAGGTTGACTTCCCGCAAATTGCTTCGTGACTATAGAGTGCTGCAGCACTTATCATCGAGAGAGAAGTGGAATATTTTGGGCTAGTAGTATAGAACGTGCAGGAGAATGAGACTAAATAAATCACCGTGAACTTTATCGTCATCATCAGTACTACTTCTCACACAACTAAAACACATCACCTTTGCCTCGTTTGACTGCCTGCCTGCCCACTTACCTGTCCACCTGCATGACCTCAATACCCATTCAAACCAATCCAAACACCCCCACATACCCACGTACACACACACACTCGTGGCCATGACTTGGGAGAGCGGGGAAAGGAAGGTAGGGGTAAGTAGCGTGGCGTCGACTCTCAAAATCAACAACTATAGGTAATTTGAGTTCAAGGCAAGCGCAACCAAAAGTCCACCTCTTTCCTTTCCTTTGCCTTCCCCTCCAGCCCTCAACCTCTGCCGCTGCCACCACCACCACTACCTGTGCAGCTCGCATAAACCATCGACCAGTCCCGCTATCCGTGATCAGATTTGGCAGCACAACTGTCACCTACAACAAATACGTTTTGGGGCGGAGAAAGCAATTTCATCAGTGACACCATTCCAAAACGAAATTAATTAATCAGAACTTGACTAGGCATGAAGCAACAGCAGCAGAATTCCTTTTTTAACCTATAAATTGATTACTTAACGGTACCACACGAAATTTTATTTTCCAAGCTAGTATATACCCTGTAGTCGAATGGTCCTAGTCCTGCTACACAATCTTTGTCTTCGTAGTTGAACATGGCACCAGAACCACGGAACAGGGGATGGAGGGGAGTCAGGTGTGTCCAGGTGGGTAAAATTATTGGCTACATGGGCCTGACACAGGTGACCGTTTCTGCAACTGTGAATATGGATGCGTTGACATTCTCAACCCTAGAGCGTTATTGAGGTCATTAGTAGCATTAGCTCCTCTGTCAAGATTTACTGCTAATACATAAACGCAGTAGGAAATCATCAATCTTGGAAGCAATATGCACTGTTGAAGTTCAAACTGATAGAAAAGTTTCCTTTGAAAATCGGACCTTCATCATAAAATTACATGAGGATTTAGGCGACTGATGTTAACGCAGTACGAAGCTTTCGTTTGGGTAATGCCGCTGAACACGTTCTTAGTCGTGGCAAGGTGGGCTGTATTGTAGGGACTGAGGAGTCATGGGTACGGGCCATATGGGACGAGTGGAATAAGGGAAGGGAGGGGAGAGGAGAGGGCAATACTTTATCCTCCCGTATGCACACACGCGTGCCACCAAGTGACACCAAGCAGTGATGCCGAAATCATCAATGACTAAATGCTGTCTTCTGTACTGCCTCATTGTACATGCTATCAACCAACTGGTAAGGCATGCAAGAATTTCCTGCGTTTGATTCACTTTAATTAGTTTACATTGATCCTTACTCCAAACTAGAAGCTCACGCAACTGTTGATCATCACATTTCATCGCGAAAGTAAGGCCAAATACTATGATAGTTTGCTTCTAATAAGTACGTTTATAGAGGTCTAATGATAACACTGCGAGCGGATATTTTTACCTCCATGGTAGAATTGACTGGTCCCACAGCTATTTGGACTACGTTTAAACGTTGAGTGAAGTTACGACACTGCTGCATCTGTTTTATACATTCATGGTGTACGTGTGTCACTCTTTGGCTACTTGTCAATCCATGTTACGGGCTCAATCACGTTTGCTTAGAGCAAAGAGATGCACAGTCAAGTGGAGGATGAGCAGTGGTTGCTGATCTGAGTGTAGAGGGAGAATGCAACCTAGCAACTGCCATGCAGCCTCTTTCTTTCTAATAAAATATAGAGGCAAAAGCCGGCAGTGGAATGAGCTTCCAATCTCCTACTGAGCAGGCAAAGAGATGATGCGCCGTGTTGACTGCAGAGCAGTGTTTTTTTTCCTTTGAGAAGACGTAACGTTAGAGCACGTAAAGTGGCATAAGTTTACAACTTTCTACCCTCTTACCCCACTTTGAGTCTCGAGAAACACTTCATGTCATCTCGTCTCATTTCCTTTCATCTTACGCCTGAGCGTTCGAGGATGATGCCTCAGGTGATGAGAGGCATATTGCTAGGACTGCCAGAAAAGGAAGAGGAAAAGGAAGACGGGTGCGAGTGACAATGAAGTAGATTTGGAACAGAGTGGGTCTACCCATCCGAATCGCACCCGGCACCCGACCGGTGTGGCCACTCACACGCCACAATTAGAACTTACTCCACTAGAGCGTATAATGCAATGGGCGGAAACAACATCCTCATGTATAAATATTTCAAGAGATATTATGGATGCTCTAGCATTTTTAAAACCATTAGACGAGAAACTTGGTATGCAGTCTGTGTGCAGCATGGAGTTAACTTAGCCAAGTCTGGTATGTGTGGTTTATATGCTCAAGCTCTCCTCGAAGTTTTCAACAACAAACAGAAACCAGTCCATTCTTAAGGCAAAGAAATAGAGATTAGGCAGTCATCCACTACCATAATATATCTACTTTACACTGGCATTTCAATCAGATATGGCTCAAAGACAGTTGGTAGCTTCGCTTGAAGAAATCAAATCATGAATTGAGTCTGCTTTGAGCGCAATATTTGCTATACTAGCTCGGCATTTGGGAGGTGAAATTCACGTAGATAGCCTTAGACTTTTCTGATCTGGTGTCACTGCATTGACGGTCATATTCATTAGGGCCGAATACTCGTTTCAGTATGGGAATAGGTGACAGCGGGTGAGAAGTAGATAAATTGTTGAAATATCATAAAGACC